ACCTTTTCTGCATCTACTGAAATGATTATATATTTTTTCACTTTTTAATCTGTTAATGTGGTGAATTATGTTAAAGCAAACTTGCATCCCTGCAATAAAACTCATTTGGTCTTGATTAGAGGATATAAATATGGATTCTATTTGCTGAGTTTTTAAGAATCGCTTCATCTAAGTTCATGAGGGATGTTGGTTATGATTTTCTTTTCTCTAACAATATGACTATTTTTTATGGACCATGCCCCTTGATTAAACTGTAAAATAAAAGCTACTAAATCATCTGCGTAGCTTGGAAAAAATAATGTCAGGAACATATCTGACGAATGAAAGCAATAAAATGCATTTGGTATGGTTCTTGAGAAAGAGAAAAAATGAGAAAGCTGGATAAGAAAGTTTACATTTTTTTGCCAAGTGAAATTTTCTAAATGTTGTGTTTTCAATATTTTTCCAGATAGGTTAAATATTCAAGAAGGGAGGGAAAATTCCTTATTTAAAAACGTAAATAAAGAAAAGAGAGAAGATAAATTTCTTTCTTATTAGTGGGAAAGGAATTCAAGGGAGGGGGATGGTAGGGGAAAACAGAAATGTGAAGACAGGCATACTTCATGGGGGTTTTCCCTTTTTTTTTTAAATGTGAAAAATGGGAGAGGGGAGGACATACACATCTTTTTAAAAAAAATTTTAAAGATTTTATTAATTTATTTGACAGAGAGAGAGCACAAGCAGGGGGAACTGCAGAGGGAGAGGGAGGAGCAGGCACCCCACTGAGCAGGGAGCCCTAGGATCATGACCTGAGCCACAAGCAGATGCTTAGCCGACTGAGCCACCCAGGTGCCCCAAGGACATAAACTTCTATTGAGCCCTATGGGCTAGGTACTATGCTAATGCTTCTACATATATTTCATTTAATGGTATTGGATAGGGAAGAGTTTTTGGAGGACAGAAGAATACACAATGTTGACTTCCAGTACATTCCAAATTGCTCATATGGGCAGACTTTGAGGGTAATATTTAATATGCTTGATCTAGTCTTTGAATGGAAGGGCACATTTTGAGACAATGACCAACTAGTATGCAGAAGAGGATTATCTGGACAGTGAAGAGACCCCAAATCCAGCTACTTAAAGAGCTGTTTATGCTTCTCCCAAAAAAGAGAAAATTAATAAGGGATGTGGGATAACACTCTTCAATAATCAAAGGGTTTTCTCTTTTTATTTGGAAAAGGAAATATACTTTCTAGTATAGAGCTTTAGCTAGCAAAATTGTATCAAAGGTGGGAATTATAGGGAGTAGGATTTCAGCTTAGTCCACTCTATCTGGAGGTGGGATAGAGGTGTTTTGCAACAACCTGGTGTCCCAGGTGGTGAATGGACAGGCAACATCATCCATCTGGGACACTAGGAGGGAATAGAATTCTTGGGTTATGTGGAGGAAGGGAGCTAAAAGTCTAACAGCTAAAGTCCATTTCCACTTGCAGAATCTCTGAGTTAGCTGTGTCGGCCTCCTCCCTCCACACAGACAAGTATGAATACAAAAGGGTGGGTATGGTGTGTGTGTGTGTGTGTGTGTGTGTACGCACGCACGCATGCATGCACATCTGAAAGCAATCACCTAAGAGGTCCTCTCAAATCATTCTGTAGGGTGACAGTGTCATAGCAGTTGGTAGTGGACTTGGGGGAATGATAATCATTTGAATATTAGTCTTGCTGAATTACTACTGAGCCTCCCTTGAGATCAGTGAGCCTTGGAAACTGCCTGTCCTCCTGGGGCTGGAGGAATTTCTCTGGCTGCAGGGTTCTCCTGTTGCCATCTGGGGGCCCTCAAGGATCATGGGACAGTATCCAATGGTGGTTAAGGGCTAGGAATATGGAGTCCTGCATAACAAGATTTGGATTCTGCTTTGGTCATAGTACTAGCCATATGACCTTGAGTAAATTGTCTAACCTTTTTGGGGGGAGGTATCTTATCTTCCTTATCTGTAAAACGAGAATGATAGAATCCACTATGAGAGCTCATTGTCCAAATTAAATGAGATAGCACGGATAAAGCACTCGGAGGGCTCCTGACACATGGCGAACACGTAATAAGTGAATGGGCTCTAGTTCAGCCCGACCTGTGCAGCACATGCCGCAGAGCTGAGCACCGGCTGCAGTCACTTTGGTGCAATCGCCAAGGGCATGGTTGCAATTACATTAGTTATTCGATTTACTCCCATGCCGGAATGTGAGCTCCAAGAAACATAGACATTGCTGTTTTATTCACTATTTTATTTCCAGTCATGTGCATGCTGCCTGGCCCATCTTACATGCTCAAAAAATGGAAAGAAGTGTGTCTCATTCCTCTCCAGGCCCACTGAGTCTCTCTCCATGTTGGCAGGGACATGTCCCTGCCAGCAGTTCCTGAACAGAGGTCGAAGAATGGCCCAGCCTTCGCTTGGCACAACTTTTTTTTTTTTTAAAGATTTTATTTATTTATTCGACAGAGAGAGATCATAAGTAGGCAGAGAGGCAGGCAGAGAGAGAGGAGGAAGCAGGCTCCCCGCTAAGGAGAGAGCCCGATGTGGGTCTCGATCCCAGGACCCTGGGATCATGACCTGAGCCGAAGGCAGAGGCTTTAACCCTCTGAGCCACCCAGGCGTCCCTTGGCACAACTTTTAACTGTCCACCAGACTACAACCACAGGCTAACAAGGACTTATCGACGAGGTAGATATGAATTTGTCACCAGCTTCCCCATTTTATGGGTGAGGAAGTTGAGTCAAGGAGTTTCAATAACCAGCTCGGGAAGAGACAGGCTGACCTGCAATTGAAATTGAAATCTGGTTCATGTACCATTTCAGACCAAAGAGTTACCACCTTTGTCAGAGAGAGAGAGAGAGAGAGAGAGCGAGAGCGAGCACTGCTCTCTATGACTGTCCCAGCGCAGCTAAGTCTGGTCCTGCTAATGCAGGTGGTTGAACTACTTCCGGGTGACCAGAGGGGCTGGGTCAGAGGGACACCAGAGTCCTGGTTCCAGCTCCTTCCCTTCCCCCCTACCTTGAAGCCCTTCCCTCCGGCTCCCTTGTTGCCTGACGCCAGTGAATCTGAGTGTGGCGGCCATTCATGTCAGAAGTTCATGGGAAATGCAGACTCCTGGCCCACACCCCCATCAGACCCACTGACTCTGCCTCTCTGGAGGTGACACCTGGGGCTAGGTTTCCTGAGTGGTTCTTAGTTATTGGAGCTGGAGCCCCTCTGCCCTGGACCACCTTGTTCTTCCATCTAGTCAGTCTGTCTGAAGCCCTGGGCAGTTTCTGCACCTGCAGCCCTGAACGGGAGGGAGCCCAGGCCAGACCGACACCGGGGAGGGCCCAGGGGGCCTGAGGGCTTGAGGTGGGACCAGGCAGGGCCTGACAGAACCTGCTGCAGGAAATATTTTGCTCATGACATTGAGGGGAGAACATTTTCTTTTTTATTTGCTAGTCTCAAAATTCCTCTGACTGGACCAAGCCAACCCCTGGAAAGCGGCCATCAGCAGATGCCCCGACCGCAGCAGGTGACTGGGGCAGAAAACAAGGGGAGGAATTTCTTGTGCTGCTAAGAAGGGAAGGGCAAGAAGGGAGTTAGCAGGGGGCCTAAAGGCTGAGCATTCTTCAGAGAAACCCCTTGGGGGCGGGAGAGCTCTTGAAGAGGCTGGGAGAGGGGACAGGCAGAGCACGCAAAGAAGGTACAAGGATGTCCAAGAGACGTTTAGGTTGTTTGCAGAGCAGTGGGTGAGATGACCTTGCCAGAGCTGCCCCAGCTCTCCAGAGAATTCTATTAAGCCCATGAGTATTTGGTGTGGGTGATTTTTGTTGTGGAAACTGAAGAAGGGTCAAAGGTCCAAGCAGAAGATGGGAATGATTCAGGCTGCACTCAAAAAATCTGGGATTTTGCGGTCGGACAGGAGCCAAAGAACACAGAGCGCCTGAGATTCAGAGTCCGAGGTCTTGATGCTTCCATGGGCCACAGAACTGGAGGAGTCGAGCAGATGTTACCTCATCTTGGGGAACAGGAAGGCCCCTATCCAACTACTCTCAGCCCCGAAAATGAAGTGAGGAGAAAACAGGAAAATGTGGTTTGGCTCTATAAATGTGACACTAATTACAGCCGTTTGTGCAAATGCTTCCCATTAATGCTTAATTGCTTACTATGTGGTGTAATAATTATGCATTGCATGAACTGTGTGTCAGATTAGCTGAGTTTTATTTCCTCTGCAGGGGCCGGTCTTCCTCTCAAGTCTTGAATCTTGAATCCTGAGGAAGCCTGGTTTGGTGGCCCGGTTATCTATGGGCAACCACGCGTGGCTTTACTTACAACTTAAAAATATACAGACATAAGCCCACACTCAGCATCTAAGCAATTCTCTCTAAGAGGCGGATTGCCACTTGCTGGCTCCAATGTCAGTACACGGTCAGTCCGTTTTTGGCCAAAAAAAGAGAATGTGATTTCTATTTGCATCTTATCTATTTGACCTTTTTTTATTTAAAAGACCTATAAAGTGTCCTTTACCAAAGATACTAGATCCCTGCACACCTCTAAAACAGAACTTGAATCATTCCCAGCCAGTGTTAATAACTCATCCAGAGTCAATGCTTCAGAGAAGAGATACAGTTAACTGTACCTCGAGGTACAGTTAATAGAGACAGTGGATAAAAAGTCTCCCCGTTGGGTCCCCTTAAAGAACAGCTTGGAATTAACAGAGACCAGTTCATGAGTTCAAAAAGGTTATTTCTAAGAAGGTGTCTTCAACGATTTTCCAAACTCTCTCTGCTTGGCTACTATGTGCCAGGCTCTGGTCCTGGCACTGTGATGGTGGGGATCAGTGGGGAGGGGGGAGGCCAACCTAAAAAACATGAGTTATAAAGCCTCTTTTCTTTCCTTAGGGAGATGATGACTTGGTTGGGTGAGGGGCCACAGATGAACTCAAGAGGCCCTTGAGAGAGTGGGGGAGGACAGTACAATAACATTAGCAAAGCAATCTTACTTCTGCAAGTCTTCTGATCTGAGTTGAGGATGTACCCTTGTTTGCACCTGCAGACGTACGAACCGGGGGTATTGATGCAGAAATGGGCACAGCGATGCTCCAGGATGCTGCACATGTGGACCGCTGAAAAGGAAGACACACAGAGTTAAGGTGATGATGACGCCTTCTCTGCCTTCACCCACCCACGTGTATCCAGAACCTGCTGTGAAGGAGAAAGCAGGACCCAAAGGAAAGCAAAGTGCTGTCCCTACCCTCAAGGGGATGTACAGCCTCTGGCTGGACAAGACAGTCTTAGATAATTACCATTAGCAGTACACAGATAAAGGCCCACAGAGGGTTCAAGGGAAATGATGCCAGGTTGACATAAAAACAGGTCAAAAATGATCAACAAAAGAACAGACATTTCACGGTTCAATGAATAATGCTTAACTGGGGAATCAGAAAGTTTACTGATACCGGAAGGGGCTTTGGCTAATGCATAGATTTTCAGCAGCAGCAATGGGGTTGAAGGAGAAGCTATTGTTAAATGAGGACGTGGCAAAGAGTCAACAGTTTTTCAGGACCATAAATCCCAAGAGAAATATCTTAATATGCAAAAGTGTCATACAGAATATTGTGGAGTAAAGAATGCATTCCTAAGTTCCATGTTTCCATAATCTTTTAATCTGATCTTAATTTAAAAATATCTGCATTTAGTTTCTGAAGTCCTTTGGCTTTCAGATACATCAATTCTTGCATAAGTCTATCAGGAGCTCATAAAAATGCTCACTGTTTTTTACATCTTAGTTTATTACTTTATTCAATATAATTCAACTTGAACGTATTTAAAATTAACAAGCATAATTATCGACAGAGTACAAGTTACGCAAGTGTTCTCATAAACAAAAAAGATGCCCGCGTGTAGAAATATACTTTTATGAAGCTGAAATAAAAGAGGCTTTCAAAAGCTAAGAACAATCCCACTAATCCAGTGCTTAGGAAAACGGAGCTACTGATGAAATTGATGGTGTACGTTACATAGATGTCTCGTTATCAGTAGGTAGGAAATAAATAAAGGGAGTAAAACTTCAAATTCTGAACAATACCATTTAGGATGATGGTTGTGAGCTTGCAAATGCAGTGTCGCCATGACTTTAGAGAACGTGATTCTGAGAATAATGGGAATTGACTGTCTATCTCAGATTTGATCAGATACATGAGATCTAGCTTATTCCCTTCCATCACTTGATCTATCGGTCCTATGATTGATTCTTCCTCGTTGTATTCCACCATCTCCCCATCAGCCATCATTTGAGCAGTGCCCAAATTTTCACACTCACTCACGATGCTGTGACAAACGTTCTCAAACGCATCTCCTTGAGCCCAGGTGCAGCTGTTTTGCTGGGACCGGGTCCCCGTTTGAATAGATGTGGCCTACTCGCCTTGCAAGGTGGCCCATGCCAGCTGTGCATGAGGGTAACGATGCCCACACCCCCCAAAACTTCAGCACTCAGAATTGTCAAGATGTTCAGTTTCTGACAGTCCTACAAGTGGAAAATCATCATTCTGTTTTTAATCGGCACTTGCTCTGCACCCCAGAAGGCTCTCTTCCTACCAATGGACTGCTGGAGCCCAGTGACCCACAGGCCTGGGGTCTTTCCGGAGGAATGCTCAGTGTGTCCCTCTCCTCCGTAGTGAAGGCAGTCTCAAGTCCGGGCAAACAGCCACATAGCAGTTATCCACCAGTTGAAGCCCCAGTGACGAGCCTGGTGCCCGTCTTCTCACCAGGACCCTGGCAGATGAAGTAAGGGGACAGGAGATGTGACGCAGAGCAAACATCCATTGGCAGCAAGCAGCACAGGGGTGAAGAGGGAGGGCCCCAGAAGCAGATGGCCTGAATGCTCCACCTCACCACTTACTATGACTTCGTATGAATTACTTAATTTCCCTAAACTCCATTTTCTTCACCTGTCAAATGGGGAAATTACAAGAACAACTGCAGAGGGTTTGGGAGTGACAGCTTGTTCCCAAGGCTTGTGTTGGCCGTGTGCCATGAAAGAATGGGAAGCAGGAGACTGGAACTTGGTATAATAGAAAGGGCACAGGATGAAAAGCCATATTTGTGCCCTGGTTCCCCTCTGCCTGAATGAGGGAGGGGAGTTCAGGTAGGTTGGGTAGCTCTTTAGACCTGTTTTTTACCCTGTGGAATAAAGGCATGAATGGTGTCTAGGGACCCACAGTACAGACATTTAGTTTTTTGTCTGTGTAGCAACCCCCCACCTTTTTCTAGAAGCTGCCCTCCCTTCTCACCTCAAATGCATGGGGACTGTTGAAGCTGTCCCCATGCATTTGAGGTGAGAAGGGAGGGCATCCAGGAGGGGGTTGCCTTATACTGCACAGGGTTCGACAGAACAGAGAGGAAGGGGAGGCAGAGGGAGAAGATGGAGAGAAAGTGGCGCCGTCATTCATTACTCTTCTGATTTCCATGAGGTAATAGAATATAATCTCCCCCACCCCCAAAGCTGGTTCAAATTGAATTTCTGTTCCTTTCAAGCAAAAGAATCCCAACCATTTTTACTAAGATAAAATAAAAAATTTCCATCTGTAAAATTTTATGGATGAGTGATTGGTGTTTCCAAAGAACATCATCTGTCCCATGGGACTGGCCTCTGGGGTGGGATTGAAGGGGAGGCGATCATCTTGCCTCCTCCACTGGCCTCCAGAAGGTCTAATGGGTTGTAACTGGGTCAAGGCACTGTGTTCTGGGGAAGAAATCACTAATCAGCAGACTGGGTCATTGGCAGGATTGGATTTTTTTTACACTAGGAAATAGGAATCTTATTAACAAATGCATAAATGACCAAAGGAGTGCTAGGGCTGACTAGGGGTCTAGAAAAGAACACTTACTGGGTATATAGAGTCAACTTTTATGGAAGTCAATCTTATCTCCCACCTAACACCAAAGCGCCAAAGTGCTATACTAAGCGTAGACTTTTCCCAGGCTGGTTCATGAAAGGTGTCTCTTAGGAGCACTACTAGAGCCTTAATCTGTGCCTGACCTGGGTGGGGTGGAGCTATTAGGGGAGGAAAGGCCTGCTGATAGAGCAGGGACTGAAAGAGTAGGGGGCAAGAGGTTAATTAAAATCAGCCCTACCCGGGTTACCGTGAGTCACCAGGAAGCTCAGGATAGACCTGTGTTTTTCAGTCCCCAGATTCAGTGCCCCCTCTCACTGGGTGGCAAAAATGGCAGGCCCCAGGATGTGTAGGTTTTGGTCATCTTGTAGACAGGGCCTCAATTCACAGGATGCCTCGTTTCCAAGTCTCTCTGGTGCTCTCAGGGGTGGCCTGAGAATGCAACCTCAGCATTCTCCCCCTTGCTGTGGCTGGTGTAGGAATTTACTGCTCAGGGATATAAAGCCACCACTGTGCCCAAGTTCATGTCCACATAGCCAGTGAGAGCCAGAACGAGGTCTCCCAATCAAGGGCAGTCTGGCTCCAGAGCCTGAACTCTTCCTAGTTTTACAATACAGTTTCCTGCTTCCATCACACAGGAACTCTGCCTATCTCCTCCAACCCACAGATCCAGCACGTTTTTCAGCTCTGCTGGAAGTGCAGAGCCCCAGCCCTTCTTCCTTCCGAAATCCTCTCCCTACCTGCACCGTGGCCTCCATTGCCCTGCCTACCCCTTCGTCCGCCTTTTTCACACTGTGGGTCACATCTCCTTAGCAGGCTATAACATTAAGAGAGAATCTGGACTGATTCTTCGCTGCTGTTGTTATTGTTTTAATGACACAGAAAATCCATCGGAAATATAATTCCTTTCCTGGCTTCTTGCCATGGTGCAACCCCACACTCCCCAAGTGGCCAAGAAACTCCTACTCATCTGTCAAGTGTGGGTAGCACACAGTGGTTAAGAGGTGGGCTCTGAACCAGAATGCCTGGGCTTACACCTCCAGTCTACCACAGTGCTGTGTGACCCTGGACAAGTCATTGAACCTCTCTGGGTCTCAATTTCCTCTTCTGTAAAATAAGAGCTATAAGAGCACTTACTTCACAGATTTGTTATGTGAATAAAATAAGCTAATGTATGCTAATAGCTCAAATCAGAGCATTAATATTATAATATTAATAGCAATAAATGGTAATGATTATTATTATCATCTCCTTTCTACAGCCCTCCTGGAGCCCCTAGAGAGACCCAAGTGTTCTCTGATCAGAGGTCCCTCAGTCCAGGTGACTTTCCGAAGAGCACATTTTGGAGAGCTGACATCCCGTTTCTCTGCGGTGAGAGAGAGCATCTTCACACGAGCCTGGAACCCTCGGGCCTGGCATGTGGAGGGTAAGAGCTTGGGCCAGAGAGCGTGCAACCTGAATCTCCAACCCTGCTCTTTGAAGTTGCTTATCCTTCCTAAGCCTCAGTTTCTGCTTCTGTAAAATGGGAGTAATAACAGCACCTGCCCCATAAGCCTGTTATAAGCATTAAATGAAAGGACAAGTGGAAAGTACCTAGCCCAGGACAAAATTAGCTGTTATTCTCAGTAGCTCAACGAATGTTTAAGGAAGAAATGAGACTTCCAAACCCTCACAGAGCTCCGAAACTTGGAAGACGCTCATTCCTGCTGTCTGATAATCGGAGTGCAGATCAAAACCGAGCCCATCTGCCTAGACTGCTGGTCCTCCGAGTATCTGACTACAATCACACACAACACGGTGCACACCCAATGGGGCTCTACAGTTGATAACCCGCATTCACACATCTAGTCTGGAGGCAAAATCCCCATTTTACAGATTTGCAAAGTACCCTACGGCCGGCAGGGGGGGCGACACTGAGATTCGAGTCTGCTCCTCCGCCTCCCATCCTACAAAGGCTCCTGGTCAAATTCTGAGGCGAATGCCAACCTCAAAGCTGGTTTACCTAGGGTGGCTTGAACTTGGGCGGGGGCGAGGGGGTGGTGTCAGAAAATGGCTTACCTTTATTTTCATCTATTTATTATTATTATTATTTATTTATTTATTTATTTTGGGGACAGAGAGGTCACAAGAAGGCAGAGAGGAGGCAGGCGGGGCGGGGGTGGGGGGTGCGGTGGAAGCAGACCCCCGCGGAGCTGAGATCCTGATGCTGGGCTTGATCCCAAGACCTTGAGATCATGACCAGAGCCGAAGGCAGACGCTTAACCCACTGAGCCACCCAGGCGCCCAAGGCAATGGCTTACCTTAAAAGAGGAATTTACAAACCCAGAGGTGCGGAGGAGTGAAATGAGCCAGAACTTTGGAAGCAGCACCCACCTTCGCCTGGCAGCTCTCAGAGAATTCACTGGAGCAGTTTACTAGGATGCAAAGAGGGAGGGATCCTATTGTGTTGCCTCCCCCCCACCACCCGAGTTTCGTGAGGATCAAATACAAGAACAGAAGGGAAAGTGCTTTACAAATGTCGGTTATTGCCATCGTAACTGCTCGGTGGATGACGAGGCCTCAAGGCCTCCTCGACCTTTGAAAATGGCTCCGCAGAACCGGGGATGCTGTGGGAGCGGAGCTGGTCTGTGGGCGGCCATGCCGGGGGGCGGGGGGGACACCTTGGCTCTCAGGCCGCATAAAACAACAAATGACAGAATACCGATATTTTCTTCGAGCTTCCAGATGACAACAAAGTCCGGGGTGGAGGGTCCAAACTGCCTTTTAATTTTGCTGACAGAGAAGCTCCTTCTTCAGACAAGTCAACAGCCTCCGCCTCAGCCCGCCTTTCCATTTGCTGATCAACCCAGAATGCTTCTAGAAGAATGCCTCCATTGACATTTTCCGAGACAAATGAATAAACCCATCAGAACAGTTACGGAACCAATTTCTGTTTTAATATTTCCAGGAAAAGGGGAACATAAATTCTGCAGAAGTCATTTAAAGTCATAAACCTTAACATGTTTGCAGCACAGTCTACTGGCTGAGGTTGACCAGGTGACCAGCTGCCAAGGCTCGCCTCAGCCGGGCCCTTCAGCGGTGCCCTGCCAAATGGCACTCTTGAAAATTCTCCAAGTGACACTGCAGAGAAAAAAGTTCTTTTGCCTGCAGGGCATTTTTTTTTTTTTTTAAGTAAATCTTTTGATTTGGCATCAAGACACAAAGGAGTCTCTGCTTTTTGAGGTTAGTTCTCAGCCAGGGATTTTTTTTTTTTTTTTTTTTAAGACGCAATGAAACACAATTTTTGCCCCCTAAGACTTCGGTGGGGGGAGTGGGGGTCCCTAGGCTCTGTCAGAGTCTGAGAACAGGGTCAGAGTCCTCAGAGCCCCCAGAGTGTCAGTGTCCTGCTCCCGGGGAGCTGGAGATGAGTCTAGTCCTTAAACTCATTCTCCACAGCCACGCCTGGGAAACAACAGTCATCTCAAAATAGACATTTCCTTTTGCTTGCCCACCAAGGAAGCATGGCAGCTGGAGGGGACAGGGGAGGTGGGCGAGGCAGGACTGGACACTGTTTACCAGGCCAGGAGGCAGGTTTCCAGTTTCCCGGGACTAGCGAGGAGACTGGGTGGGCCCCTTGGCACCCCCACTTGAAGGAGGAGAGGACAGGAAGCCAGGGGAAGAAGGAGGAAACTAGGAAGAGGGCAAGTTGGCCCGCAGGGGAAACACTGAGTCAGAAGCTCCAGGTGAGGGTCCCTGAGAACCATCCGGCAAGGAAGGGAGAGCAAAGCCTTGTGGAGACTAGGGTCAGAAAGCAAGAGAGAGTAGAAGAGCCTTGCAGCAGAAGCAGCTCAAGGACATGGGGAGGCATCCCCCTTGCAGGAGGAGGGGACCTCAGCTCCGTCCTCCCCGTGCACCGGGCCTCTCCGAGGAGAAAACCTTCACCACTTGCATCGCCATGGGCAAACACTGCTTGGTATTCGACCCCATCCAAGGAGATGTTTGTTGTTTTTTTTTGTTTTGTTTTTGTTTTTGGTTTTTTTTTTTTGCCCTCCTAATCCTATCTCTACTCCAACTCAAGAAGTTTAACTTAGGGAATGCCGGAGCAGTCCAATGTGCTGGAGAAAAACTTTGCCTATCTGCTCCTCTTCACTCAGCAGTTTGGGTTTGAATATCCCTTCTCCAGGGAATTTTCCCTGAGCACCCTGGCCGGGGTGACGTCCTGGCCTGAATTCTTCCTCCATGCGTCTGTCACAGCTGCAGGTACTTTCCTGTGTCGTTATAGCCTTACTCTCTGACCCCTCAGCCAGCATGCAACCCCAAGACACGCTGTGTCTATCCTGGCCTTTACCCAACACCCTTGCCAGCGCAGTACCTGGGACGAGGTTAGCCCACTCTATGCTAGAAGATGAAAGAAGAAATCCTAATGATTCCCCTGAAAGAGCCCCAGAGGAGCAGGACTTACTGCACAGCTTGTTCTGGAACACGGAGGTCAGTGACTCTATCTGGCTGAAGTTGGCCACCAGAAAGACGTGGTCCTCATGGGGCTCACTCCCGATGGCCTTCAGTGTATTGAGGTCCACCTGGCCCACACCGATGGCAAAGATCAGGATGCCCGTGTCCCGTGCCTTTGCAGCCACTTCAGCCACGGAGTCCTGTGGCCTCCCATCGGTCACGATCATTATGACCCGCAGCACATTCTCCCTCAGGGGCCGGGCCCCCTCTGCTTCCGAGAACGCAATGTTCAGGGCATACTGGATGGCCAGCCCCGTCATGGTGCCAGTGGACAGGTGCCTCATCCTCTTGACGGCACGCTCCACTTCGGACTTCCTCTTGAAGGTCTTGAGGGAGAACTCATTCTTGACAGTGCTGCCATACTGCAAGAGGCCCACCCGGGTGACATCAGGGCCAATGTCCAAGAACTGCAAGATGTCCACAATGAACTCCTTGACCTTGGCATAGTCATGGGTGTTGACGCTGCGGGAGCTGTCAATAATGAAGACCAAGTCTGCCCGCTTATTCTCACAGGAGCTCTCTGGGGAAAGAGGAGAGGTCAAACTCATTAGAGAAGCACTGAGGGCCAGTGAAGGCTAGCTGTTACTGGAAAGCCCAGGGGTCCGGAATCACCTTGCAGAACTCTGATTTTCCTTGGGTTTTCTTCCCCCCTCGGGAAAGCTGGAAAGGTATATATGCATGACTGTGCGATCATGAGTATTGGCTACAAGGAGAAACTATTTATTTGTGCAGGATAAACAAACACTTCAGTTCCTAGAAAGTCGTCCATACAGTTTTTAGGTGGGACAAATACCTGAACAGGGTCAAGATGATTTGATGATTGACTGCACGCCCCATAAGCTTGGCTGGACACTGCAGGGAATACACCACAAGCCAATGGCCAATGTCAAGGAGCTTACAATCCACCTTGGGAACTCAACTAATGGAACAAATGAAAGAATAATTACGTGAAGCAGTGTGGTGCTTATACTAGATGTTCCGGGAACCGGGATGTTAGTGGGCTGGGATCAAGGGGATAGGAAATGAACTAGGTTTATGCAATGTTTGGATTGAGAGAAGGAACACATGGAGAGAGGCACATGGACAGAATCCCAAGATGGCAGGAATATGGTGGAAATGGAAACTACTAGGAGGTGCAGAGAGGAATGGAGCTGGAGGGTAACCTGAAGCCAGCCATGAAGGGCCTGAGAATACGTTAGTGTCACATTATGTCACTGAATTGAGCTGTAGGGAGCTCGCATAATAATAAGTCAACTGAAAACAGGCTCTCTACTGAGCAGAGAGCCCAATGCGGGGCTCGATCCCAGGACCCTGGGATCATGACCTGAGCCGAAGTCAGAGGCTTTAATCCACTGAGCCACCCAGGTGCCCCCCAAAAACATTTCAACCAAAGACACCATTAAATGGGAAAAAGGCCAATGTCAAGTCTCTCCCCCACCCCCGCCATACTTATTCCTTCAGCCCCCAAGCAAGAAGGCTAGAAGAGGTTTGAGTCTGTGGCTGAAACTCATCACATTCTGGGAAGAGGCTGATATGGGATGAGATGAGAGGCCTCTGGCCTCAGAGGGTGGAGGCTGGGCTTCCCTGCTAGAATTTCTCAGATGTTCTGAGCTACTGCCTCCAGCCAGCAGGGTGTCCCTCCTCCCCTTCCCCGACTCTATAGCTAAATCCAGATTTGACAGGGATTAGAGGAGGGATCCCAAATGCTTGTCCTAAATCCCAGTCACCACAGCTGCGAGAAAGAGAGAGAAAGCCAAATATGAAACAGTGAGCCCAGTCATCAAAATGAAAAGTGGGAAACGCCATGAAGTCATCCTGTCCAGGCCAGCTTGCCAGGCTGTGACTTGCCCCCAGCGAGTCACACACCTCGTCCACTTATGGCCTCATAAGTCTTCCGATTTGGGGATGAGGAAGCATCCCTGAACAGCAGCATCCTGGCAAGGAGACCGAGCTTGTGCTGTACCCACGTCTAACACTGGAGCTATGTGAATTCAAAGTGAGTTTCTCAAACCAGAGCCCCCAGATGCCAACTTTGAGGACTCTGGGAGAAAGATCAATATAAAACCTGCCATTTGTGGGATGTTTTCAAGATCCTTTCTCCAGAGCGCATTCATCACTATGGTCTCATATGAGTTTCAGAATAAGCTCTTAAGAGGAAAGTACAGTGTCATACCCATTGGATACGTGAGAAAATAGAGGTACCAAGAATTGGAAAATCTCTTCTAATGTAGAAAAAAGCCTATATGGAGACACACCAACACCCACCACATTAGGCGGCAGTGAGAATTCAAGGGGAAGAGGGTGGCCTTGGGCCCCAGGTGTGGGAACCCTCTTGTCTGCCCACAATGCCCCCAACTTCTCTCCAGGGGAGAAGGCTGCTACTCCTGGCTGCGTAGTCCGTGTTGCCCATAGACACCTGCCTTATGAGGCAAATGGCTGAAATCCAGCCCAGCCCTGGGCCCCCAAGGCTGCATCCATCCTGAGAAGTACTTAGAAGGGGTGCCTCTTTTTATTTTCACAAAAGTGCCCATGGTCTAGCATACAGCCCTTGGTCAGAGCCAGGGACAACAGACCCGCAGGTCTCAGGAGCCAGGCTGGCCCCTGTCCAGGAGCCACGGGCCCTCTACCATTGATGTATGAACTTACTGCAAGGAGAATGTGGCCCAGTGTTCTCTGCCTGCAGAGGGGAACAGAAACCAGGCTCAGACCCTGCCACGGTGGGAGATATGAAGGAAAGGCTGCTTGGAAGGAGGAGAGGAGACAGCCGATTGGCCCCCTAAGAATGCTTCCTCTGGAGAAGTTTGGAAGCAGGAGGTCGTCTGGGGTTGGGATTCTTGCTGTGGGTCTTAGTCACCATATCAACATCCCATCAAACATCACAGTCGATTTAAAGGGAAGCCTGGAGGTTCCACGGGGAATGGTGTGCTAAACTGGGTTAGTTTCCGTCAAAACAAGTGTATCATTTTCACAACGCCTGGGCATTGACTGAAACACCACAAAGGTTCGAAATGGTGTTGGAGCTCCACAGGAGCCGTGACTGTGAGTGGAAAGTGAGTCTTGGCAGCCCAAGTGAGTGAGTTTTCTTCAAGACAATTTCTCAGGTCCCTTAAGGGCTCAGAACCACAGTCTTGCAGCTTGTCCCTGAGAGGACCAGTTCAGTGGTTCTCAAACTGCAGATGCCTCCCAAGCCCCCAGAGAAGCATTAAAAACTGAGATCGTGGGCCACACTTCCAGAGTTTCTGACCTTGTAGATCTAAGGTGGCACCAGAAAAATCTGCATTTCTAGCAAGTTCCCAGGTGAAGTTGATGCCGCTGGTTCAGGAACCACACTTGGAGAACCGTTAGTTTTAAGTACTAGAGAGATCACTGGAGGAAAGACATTCTGGCAAGTTTTGTTTTGTTTTTTAAGATTTTATTTATTTATTTGACAGATAGAGATCACAAGTAGGCAGAGAGGCAGGCAGAGAGAGAGGAGGAAGCAGGCTCCCTGGTGAGCAGAGAGCCCGATGTGGGGCTCCATCCCAGGACCCTGGGATCATGACCTGAGCCGAAGGCAGAAGCTTTAACCCACTGAGCCACCCAGGCACCCCGTTCTGGCAAGTCTTGACCTCACTATCTCACTGTGAATTCCCCAAAGTGTGAAACTAGTCTCATTCATCCTTCCAACCATGCAGCTGGGAAGAGAGTTATGTCTTCAGTCAATATTTATGGAATTAAATGGAATTCTGGGTGGCAGAGCAAGGTTCTAGGTGGAAGGACTTGAACCAGAGCAGTCAGTTCAAGGAAGTGGATAAAAACCACAAAGTCAAAGTGCTCTAGAGCAGGTGTGGCTCTAGAGTCAGATTCTAGTCACAGATTCTAGACCCGATTATTCACTATTTTATGAGGAAGCATGGCCACTTTTGAACTTTGGCTCACAGACTCACAGACTAATAAACTGTTAGAGCTGGAGGGGTCTAAATAAAGTCAAGTCACTCAGTGTACGCAAGGGGAAACTGAGGCTCAGAGATGGCTCATTAGGGTCAGACCTGGGACGATACTGATGGCTCTTCCACCATCTCATGGTGGACATCTTGGAAAATTTGCAATACAGGTGGCATTACCACATGAGCTCTGTAGATGCTTGGGAATATTTGCTGGGAAGAGTCCCCATAGCTTTTCCACATGGGGACTGATAAGAGGTATTTCCAGAAAACAGACTCTCCTCTGTGTGTGTTCCTTTCACAGACTGGTTCTGATTAACAGCATCCCCGTCTCCTGAGCCTGGGAGAAGAGCACACAATCATCCTTCTGGCCCCTCATGACAGACTTTCAACAGCACTGGATGAGGTTTTGTGGGCAGATCATAAAATGTCATCCCTTGAACCACAAAGTGACAGTCTGGACCTTGTCAACTGCACTTCAGTACTGTCAACTTGCCTTCAAAGCCCACAAGTTGGGCAAACAAGTGTCTCTTACTGTTGAACTTGAGCCAGGACAATTTTAAGAAACATTCCACTCCAGCAGGATTCCAGTGTGCAACCTTGGAGTGATTTCCATTGCTCAGGGTTGCAGACTTGTCACTAATCAGCCTCCCTTGCTCTGGCTAAATTCAGTCATGGCCGTGGAATTGTACAACAAATATTTGGTGCCATCTGCCTGGGATCAAAGCACGCTTGGAGAAGGAAAGTATGTGAATATCTATAACATGCAGAGAATCAAAGGGGGCTCCGAAATGCTTAGTGAAGCGACATATAGTCCTATGACCTCAGTGTAAGTCCAGTCTCTGCCACCTTTTGTCCACGTGATCTTTGAGCCTCTCCTTGACCTCTTTGACCCTCAGTCTCTTCTTCTGAGAAATGGTGATAATAATACCTCCCAGGGATGTGGTGAAACTCAAAAGAATATAATAATAATTTATAGCTACTCTTTATTGAGCACCTAATATGTACTGGGCCTTGTTCTGAACACTTTCCAAGTGTTGGCTTATTTATTCTAGACACTATTACTACTGCCATTTTACAGATGAGGACAGTAAGCCTCGAAAGACCAAATAATTAGCCCAGGATCTCATACTTAGGAAGCGGAGGAGCCAGGATCTGACCCCATCTTGTCTGCTCTGTAGCCCACACTCTTAACCGCCAAGCAATACTCAAGAAGGATTTTGTCCTTTTCAACCCGCCATCGTCAGCATACTCAAGGTGCCCCAGGACTGCACCGGCTTTCTGGGGTCAGTTCTTTCCTTCCCTGGAATCCAGGCCTGAAAGCTATGGCTCCAACTTGCCTGCATCCTGCCAAGCGCTTCTCTCTGCGAGATGCCTATCTGCATTTTAAAAAAATGTAATAGAATGATAAAACAGATGCTTGCCTCCCTGAATAGCAGTAGCGCTTCTGTCAGGCTGCTGGTCACGCCCATTCCCACTCACTCCCATTCTCACTCACCTGACAAGTGCTTGTTGAGAGAGGAGTAGGAGCAAGGCCCCGGGGGGGGGGGGGGGGGGGGACGGAGGAAGGGAGGGGGGGTG